ATTTTTTGCCACTGTAGGTCATGCTTATTACAGATTTCTTATGCATCTTACATACATCTTAAATACAGCAATAATTCAAGCCCCTTTTTCTGAAATTTGCTGTTCCAGATTGCGAGACAAACAAGAAAAGGCAGTGCCTTGTGTGTCCCTGGTGTGACTGGAAGTGGCCAGTTCCCCTCAGCTTTCTGAGACTTGCAGTGTGTGAGGGCAGCACGGAAGGTTGGCAGCCACACGGACGACTTCTTGGGGACACTTGAGAATCACATACTTCATGAAAAAATCACCTCTGTGAATCGCCAGTGCTTGCTCACCACCATGGAAAAAACTAAGAGAGACGTTTGTGCTACTGCAGTGCTCACCAGAATCCTCAGATGTTCCACAGAAGGGCCCTTTGTTCTTGGGAGGGTAGGAAATTCCACACACACAGAATGGAAAATGTAAAATGCTGCAGTAAACATCAGGCAAATTCTCTTACCTGCTGGTTTTGAGGGGGGAACCACGAACCCTTGCAACCCCTCAGACAAGCTATTCAGCAGTGAAGGCTTTCATGTTTTTCCACTAAAAAACACCTTTCTGTCACCCCGTGGAGGCTGCCCATCGTACCATACACTCACACGGACGAGGGGTCTGGGAAGCCTGATACAAGGAGAGGGGAGTTCCCAGTTAAGGCTCTTTCACTCCATAACCTAACAATGAGGAAAAAAAAAAAACCTGCTGGAGAATGCAGGCCGTTCCGGTAGCCATCGGATATTTATTGAGGAATAACGAGTTTACACAGCAGACCCACGTCAGCCTTTCCCCCCCGGCTGCTGGGGCAGCCTGAAGCCCACCAGGCCGGCGACCTCCTCGGGCGAGCGCTCGCCCTTGCCGTGGTACTCGCGGTGCAGGGCCTCGTGCTGGCGGACGCTGCGGAGCAAGCACAGGTAGGTGGCGGCCTGAAAGTGCAGCTCCTGCTGGGCGCGGCACAGCTTCTCGCTGGTCACCTGCGGGGAGCGGCGATCAGGGCGGCCCCGAAGGCTCGCCGAGCCCCGGGGCTGCTCGGGCAGGGGTGGGTTGGTGGGTGGGGAGTTGGGCAGGGATGTCCGCGCCTACCCGGTGCGCGCGGAAGGCCGCGAGCACGTGGCGATAGGCGGGGCTGTCGCGATAGTGGCTGCCGGCGGCATGGCGGAGCTCGCGCAGGAGCGCGCGCAGCGTGCGCAGGGGGGCGCCCAGCGCCGCCATCTTCCGCCGTGCGCGCGCGCCCGCCCGTCGGCCAATCGAGCGCCGCCGCCTCGCTCCGCGGCCTCGCCCTCGCGCCCCTCCAGTGCGCGCTGCCGAGAGCCGAGCGAACGATCATCCCCCCTCCCCCCGCCGCCACGGCAACCAGCGCAGGGCGAGTGCCGGGGGTCGGGCGGCCGGGAGGGGCCGTGCCCGCACCCTTCTCGCGCTGGGACAGCGGTTGTGCGGCCCCCCGCCCGCCTATGGCACCGGAGCGGGGTCGCCGGGAGACACCCGAGGGGCCCATCGCGCTGCGGGAAGCCGAGTTGGTTCGCGGCCGCGCATCTCGCGAGTTTTTGGGATCTCCGGCTTAAAAGGGTCTACAGGTCTCGCTACAGCCACGGGGGGACGGCCAGCAAGAAGTCCGGGAACCGCGCACCCGCAACAGCCGGCGGCTCGCGGGCATCCGGACAAACGGCGAGGCTGGAGCGGAAAAAGAAAAAAAAAAGCACCCACCCCAGATGGGACTCGAACCCACAATCCCTGGCTTAGGAGGCCAATGCCTTATCCATTAGGCCACTGGGGCTGTCGCGGGAGAAGAGCTTCTGCGCGCCTACTTGTCTCGTGTCCCCGCCCCCTTTGCCTTTTATGGAAACCCCCGTGGCCGCGGCCTGGGCCGCGCGGGCCCCTGGGAGCCGGGGCGGGGCTGCGGCGCTTCACAACCACAGGCCCGGCGGGGCAGCGCTCCCTCTGGGACCCACCCGCTGGCAGCTTTAAAGCGCTGTTCCTCGCACCACCCCCATCCCCAAAACGGAAAAGCCCCAAGGGACGACCTTTGAAGTGAAACTTTTACATCTTTATTTTTGTGAGAAGTCACAGAGACAGGACTAATATGTACATTCCTCTTTATTTAATACAGCACAGACACGTGACACATAAAAAAAGAAAAGTACACTCATGAAAAAGCCTGTCGCGGTCAGGGACAGGGAACAGCTACGCCAAATTGAGTAAGGCTCCTACTGCAGAACAGGGGTCTGCCGGCAAGGGTGGATCCCAGAGCAAATTCTGCTGCCAAAAAAAAAGCTTTGCGCTCCTTTCAGGAAAGCAGAAAAGGGCAAGTCCCTTCCGGAACAGGTGAAGGCAGCATTACCTGCAAGGTGCAGGATACAAACCCCATTACTGTGTTTGGATCAAAGCACTGATAAAATGAAATGCTCTCCAGTTATTCTTGCAGAGGGCCAATAGTCCTGACCTCTGAAAGCATTGGACTGCTCAGGGATAGCAAACCTGAGTACCTGGAAGGAGTGAAAACATCAAGTAGTCACAAAGAAGAGAGTTAAAATTAGCCTCCCTGATAGAGCTCTGCTACCCACAACTGGAAACGTGCAGGGGAACAAACCAGCTTCCCAACTAACAAAAGACTAACAGCCATTAAACTGACCAGAACAATATACGTATCTGGAACTGACACAGGCTTTTGTGGCAGCAGCTTCTTCCTTTTCCTGCCTCAGTTCAGGATGGAGATAAAGCAGGCACCAGTTCCTCTGGCAAAGAGCCTTACACACTTTTAAAAAATTAAAATACAAAAAAGGGAGACAGGTGTTATTTACAAAATCCATGGCTGGTACAGTACATCATTTTTAAGACACACTAAATGCTACAATCTTTCAGGTCCTGAGTTTATTACAAAAAAACCCCAACAACTCAAAACTTGTGTTCAGGTCCAGTTTTATACGGAGAGAGGAAAGAAACCACACATTTAAAACACAGTATCCCTTGAAGTTATTGGAACATACCTCCCTAAAAATTCCAGATGAAAGTGGTGCTAACCACGCAAATGTAGCTGCATTTGGTTGTTCAGGCTTGTTGTCACAAGAGGGGAGCATTTCACTGGGGAGTTTCCCTGGAAAGCTCATCAGGTAAGCACAAGGCTGTTGAGATCCTCTTTCCATCACTAAGCCCTATGATCCAAAATGTGCGAGTATTAAAAGGAGGAAGGTGATCTTGTACAAATTCATGAAGGACTGAGTAAAACATCACAGGAATCACCAACTCAAACAGATTTGCCATCTTGTAGTAACTGTGCATTCCTTTGTTTGAAGCCGAGGAATGCAAAGAATTCTCGCTGTGATTTAACACTTGTTTATAAAAAAATAAACCTCACCAGCCTTTTGTTCTGAGCTCCCTAGTGAAAGGCAGCAAAACAGTTTCTCAGCCCTTCATTGCCTGGGGGATCACAGCAAGTCAGGTAGAGTTAAGCTGGCTACATCCAAAGTTGCTAAAATATTTATACATAAAAGTGACACCAAACAAACGATATGGAGGCCAAACTGCTGTTGAGGGGATGATCCCTACTGCCATTAGCTGTGCAGGGCATTCTTCATTGAGAGTCTTTTATCAGGCAGAATCAAAGGGACTTGCACCCACACCTGTTTGTTTTTTTTCAATGAAATATTCTGAACATAGAGATTTTGTACCATCAGAAGTTACCGACCCAGATGCCCTTTTTATTATAAGCACCTGATCTTAAGCTATAGAATGCCAACATTTTAAGGATTACTCATTAAATGCTTCTAACCCTTAGTAAAAGAAGACTACAAGAGACAAATCACATAACAAGGGTACTAGTTTAACTGCTAAAATATAGTGCTGCTCAGTAGACTTTTGGGGGTAAAAAGTAGCAGTTAATTTTGTAGTTTTGTTTTTTTTTAACAGTAGTCCAAAAATAAAATTTCTCCATCTATTTCCAGTACAGATCTTGAGAACTATGCAAGAACATGGTACTAATTGCTACATGATGGAATCACCGGCAATAAAACACACACTACAGTTCTCATCTCTGAGCTAAATTGTTATTTGTAGTTACATACAACAAGACTAAAAGACCAGTGAGAAATACCTGGGGACTGTGATTTAGCTTTTACTTAGCTGATAATTCCCCATGTTTAGAAGCAACTTCATTTCAGTGAGAAACTAATTTAATTCACTTCTGATGCTGGAAAGAAACCTGGGATGTCTCATTAGTTTCTCCCCAAATCCAATCTGTACATCCAAAAACATTGCTGCGCCTTCTTAAAACCAATTCTGAGAGCTGAATATTCTACGAAATCTCAGACTAAAACCTGTCTCAAGAGGTGATTTTACCTTCCCTCTAAAAGCAACTTCATGACACTTGACACTATGCGTTGCATCAGTGAAAGGGTTTCTTTTCGAAAATACACATTTTTTTCTTCATGTTAGCAAAAAAGTTCTGCAGTACAGACATTCAAAAATATTCCATTTTCTTTGGGTAAAATTTCAGTATGTGTTAAGAGGGGTAGCTAAGGAAAGGAATGCATGTAACACTGAAATACATATACTTATCTGCATAGTTGATATTAGTGACTACTAATCAAACTAAGGCTTTATCTGGAAAAAGCTGAGAACACAAGAAAGTTTCTTCCCCCACTCCTCTGGTGAAATCTGCTAAGTTTTAATGTAGCTCTGGCTGCCTCGGCAGCTACACGGTTTGGCCTACGATGGTGGCATCTCCTGACTGGTTTTGGTTGATTTTCCCCTGCTCTTTTTCTCTTGGTACTAGACAGCAGCAAACGTGACTGTCTGTCAATAAAACACTTCTGCACACATTACTAGGAAGAAAAAAAACCATAAAAAACCTTTTTAGCATTGCACATGATAGGAGTCAAACATTAGTTCATCATGAAGAAAAACTTACTAGTTAATGGTTGTTATATAAGCAGGAGATGACAGCAGGGGAAGAGATTGAAATACATTTCTAGATACAAAACACGGTGATGGTTGGGTTTTTTTCTCCCCCGAGAGTTGCTCTGTAGAATTATAGCTGTCAAAAATGGCTACAAAATACACGCCTCTATCCTTGACTACTGACAAGACCAGCACAGTGTTGTTTATGAGTGTGCAAAAACAGCTGGGGAGAATCTTTGTAACTCCCCAGTTTTGGGCCAGTTCCAGGCCCTACTGATCTTTCAGCATACCTCATAGCAGCAGCAGGGCTTTCTACAGACCCAAAAAGCTATTACAGCAGCAAGGGTTGAAATCAGGTCATAGAAAAAGGATGATGAAGCCACAGCAGAAGTTTCCACAAACAAAACGTTCCTCTACACAATGCTCATCTTTCCAGTGGCCCAGCAGTCATACCTTTGGCTGCCTATCTTGGTAGTGATTTCTTAAGCAGCAGAGACTTTCACAACAGCTGCATTTGTTAGGAAAGACTGCAACACTCAGCCATCATCACCAGCTGTAGATTCCCACAGATCAGCCTAGAATAAAGAGCATGTGCGCCCAAAAGGAATTAAACAGTGACATAGGTGAGTGTGGCAAACTCCACTTAAGTAACTTCACTACTGCATCTAAAGAGATTTAGAAGCTCCCTCAACTATCACTCCAACTGGCTGAGCTACCAGCAATAGTCCTCTTTGACTGGCACCATTGGATTGGTAGGAGAAATCCGCCTATGGTCTAGTTTACGTAACGAGTTTAGTCAAACATGTGAAGACCAGCCAAGAACTGAGTTAGGCTATTCTCTGCCACAGAGAACATGTTATATTTGGTATCATATTTTGTTTTCCAGTCTGGTTCTCCACTCACGAAGGACTTTTCATTCTGTTCTCATTCTGTAAAGAAATGCTTCCTTTTCATACTGCAACTCAATATTAGATCTTCCCCAGGGGAAGCACATCACAGAACCAGAACAGTGTAGTGATGCATACGCTTTTTACCTTCAGTTTAGCACGTGGTCAACAAGTGAATTGCTAATTTCATGTATTCTTGTTTATAATAATCATAAGTTAGACAGATCCTCAGCACAAAGGTGTTGAAATCACTAGATCATCTATTGCAGATAGCTAATTTTGTCAGAGAACAAGGAAACAAGCACAGACAGTAGTATGAGGGTTCACCTGCAGCTAACAACAGAGTCATAAGAGAACAAATCATTAATAAAATCTCAATAAATTAAGAAGTACAACTGGAAAAGTATTTCATGGTGAGGAACTTAGGCAGCATGTGAAGCATAGCCAGTTTTAAATTCCATTAGCAGCTGCACTCTTGCAGATTTTACCAAATTCCTTTTTACATATGATGGATGGTGCAAAGTGACAACTTCGGTAAGTGTGAGAATCCTTGCAATAACCGGTGTCAAGCAGATGTGGCTAGCTGCACACAGGATGCCTTGCAGTTCATCTCAACTCAAACTTATGTCAAGCTCCTGTTTTAACTTTCTTTCCCCCACAGGTCCTTGGGGCTGTCAGCCACACATCTTTGCCTCAATAATTGCATGAAATGGTCCAGTAATTAATAAGGTTGCCAGACAGGGCCCATAATGTTTTACTCATGACCTAATTAAGAAAAATTTAAAACCTTCAGAGAAAAATGCAAGAAGTTTCATTTCCATTAGCCATTTCCTTTCTCTCATGCACATTTACGCACACTCATGCACACACTCCTTTATTGTACTGCCATCTTTGCACAAACGCTCACCATTAAGTAGTGTTTGACAGAGCCAGGAGAATGTAGAAGGATGAACAGGTTTCAGGAATATTGCTGTGTGTGTGTGTGTGCGCACGTGTGTGCGTGTGAGAGAGGAAGAATGCACAAGCACACAGAACCAACGCCATGGTACAGCAGCATGAAGTTACACACATTACACACACTTGGTTGTTTGTTTTTTTTTTTTTCTTTACAAAAGGGAAAAAAATAGTATAACAGCATAAAGCCATCTTGGTAAGCTTAAGATTTTCCTCCAAAATGCCTTCCAGCACTTCAGGATCTCTGAGAAAAGTTTAAAGAGGATAGGGAAATAAAATTAAAAACAAAAAGGCACTTAAACAAAGGACAAAGGCCTGAATCAAGTAAGTCATGGAGGGTAACAGCCATTTCACTGGAGCTTGGACCAATCAAAGTCTACCAAACTTTTTAAAAATTTCTATAAAATTAAAATTGCATAAAGTGTTAATCAGTTGTTTACCTACTGCTTTTACCTTCTGGTTCATTATGGAAAAAAAACCCAACAAACCAAAACAACAAACAAGGCCAAACAAAAAGCAAGTGTCCCTTTAATGATTTCCCCCCCAGTTCAGCAGAAGATGAAAGGTTGATGTGGGAGGGAGCCTTCCACAGTTTGGTTTGGCTGTAGGTTTTCCCTACCAAGAAAAAAAAAAAAAAAAAGGGAAAAAAATTTCCAAAACAAAAGCAGAAGAGGGACCACTGTGCTTTCACCAATTCACTCAAAACAAAACCAAACCAGAACAAAACAAAAAACCCATCAACCCAAGCACCCCAACATTTCTAATCCATCTGTGGGCAAAAACTAATCAAAAGAAAACAAAAAACCCCAACCTGTAAACTAGATTAAAATTTGCTAATAAATACAGCCAAAAGTTCATTTTACGAATGTAGCAGCAAATGTGATAAAGTTAGTTGGAGTCCAAGATGACTCCCAGAGGGTTACTTGTTCGCACAACCGATGGCAGTTTGGGAGAGTTGCAAGGTTTCTCTGTTTTCATGTCCTCAAGGGTCTTGCACCAAGCGGAGAAGGAGTGTGGAGGAAGGGTCAGATGATGGGACTGCAGGAAGGAACAGGCTTTTAACACCTGTCCCACCCCTAAATCTGTGCATCAGACAACTTTGATCGGATTCAAACAAAAAGCAGAACCCAAGTAATTAAAAGTTACTTCTGATTAGCAGAAAACAGATGTGAAACCCACAGCATCCACACTTGTGACTTAGTTGATCAGTATTTAGTCATGTTTCTCAAATCAGCAGAGAAGACTGGACAATGTGACCTAGGCCATTTGCATCTCCGACTGGGAGAACACTGCAGTTCTAGTCCAAAGTACCAGGAAACTTTGCAGCCTGTTTTCCATTTAGCCTGTCTTCTTTCTTTGCAAGTGTCTCTAAGGATTTAAAATAGCTACCGCGACTTTAGGGACTTTGGATCATGTAGCAGAAAATACTACCCAGACGGTTTTAACATCTAAAACCTACGTTTGAAGTTATTGCTTGCATTTGTTTGGGGCTTTCAGAGAGCTTGGCATGTTAGCTCATATACAGTCCCCAAACCAAGTTCAGCCCTGCTGCCCGGAAAAGACAGCTATAGTTGGCTTTCTTATTGCTTGTGAATACTGAGGGTTTATTTAGTATGTACAACTACAGTTTATTTATTAACAAAGGCCCTTAAAAAGTAGTAAAAACCTGGGGGGAAATGTCTTCAGAAGAGCTGCTGTGCAGAAAATAGTAAAACATTAACCTAATTTTGCATTTGGACGCTGCAGCAAATCTTTCCCTTCCCCATCCTGTCTATGCTACCTGCAAAGGTCTCTGGGAATCACCCTATTATTTGACTTGGCCTTGCTAAATTTAACCAGGGAGGACAGGGAACAGCAATGAAAGGGTCTACATACCCTATGTTGCTCATTCCAAAGAAGCTTAGGAGCATAATGACTGAAAACAGTTACCTGCTGGGGGACTGTTTGAACTGAAGTCACAAACAACATATGGTCATCTTTATTCTCATCATCCTACTATTTATTTCCATAAGAAGTATTAGTTTACTTGTTTCCTAAGACTGAGAAGCTCAATAGGATACAGAGGCAGCACTGCTCCTACCCTCAAGATTTAGAGAGGATTACTCTTCAGCTGAAGATGAGGCATACTTCGAGGAAGAGAGGAACACTGAAAGGGAATTTGTGCTGTAGTTATAAAGGGCTCCAAGTCTCCCAGTCTAAAATTTCATTGAGTATGAAGACAAAAGATGGCAATTTGAACGAGATGCCTCGATGAGGAAAACATAGAAGAGGTAGAACTCTTAGGACAGGGTCTTTTAAATATATTGCTGCCCAATGGCTCACTGCTGCAACTCCCTTAGCTACATGCATGTTAAAATTGTCAGGTTTGACACAGTTCAGAGAATTAACCAGAATGCCAGAACCATTGGGCCTCAAAAAACAGAAGTTGTCTTCCTTCAAACCTTCCTGGAGAAGAGAAGGAAGAAAAAACAGATAAAGCTTGCATTCTAAATAGTTCATGGTATTTTGACAGAATATGTACAGTATTAAGAATGCTAGGGTCTACATAGCTGTATGTTTCAACTCTTAAAAACCTCAATGGAGATGCAAGCTTATCTAATCAACACGCCACATACAAAACATCAGCGCTAGCTAAAAAGCATTTAATTGGCAGATGCTGTGGAGTGAAATTAATGAACTAATGCATCTTAATTCAATCTGTCTTTCACAGAAGTGTTGTGCAAAAACATTTATTGCTGAGCTCAACCCAACATTTTTATACTAAATACACAATATATATTATTTTAAATTTATGTATATATATTTATATAAAATTAAAATGAGCTCTAAATAGAAAAGAAATTGTTGTCTGATCTAAGAAAAATAAATCACATGTAAAAGAAACCTGCAAGCTCGAAATAATCTAGCAAAAAACATTGAAGATTAATTACTCACGGGTCAAAGTCGCTCTAAAAGGTGTGAGATAACCAGTAGTCTCTGGTTCAATCTCAAGTCAAACTACTGGAAAAACTATTTACTAGGAATTTCAGCATCTCTGGTCTAAAGGAATGTTTCAGGGCTGAAGGAGAAGGGCATCCTACTACTTTATTTGCTCCTTTCCCCTATGACTTATTTAACTTTTTGCCATTCTCACCTTTTATCTGACAGCGCAAGGGACGCAATAGCAAAGTTCTGTCCTAGTGCTGAAAGTGCAACATGTGCTGGATACTTCCTAATCTTACACGTGAACCAGTTGATGTATTGCTATCAAAGAAAAAAAAAAAAAAAAAGCCAGCTTTGCAGTCTTGTGCTACCATGTAAGAAAAGAGTTCAGGCTGGACACTCCCCAGGCCAGCAGGGGCTGGAAATGCTGGAGACAACCCATTCAGCCCCCAGAAGAGAAGGCACCTCTGGTCGCTTTTGAACGACTCCTCTTTGGCTAATGCCTGAAGCAGTACTAACCTGACTCTGGAATAGGTCACAATCACGCTTCTTTAACTAGCAAATCAGTAAAATGGATGGCTTTTGGGAAGAGTTAAATGAAAGATGAAGATCGAGAATGAGCTAAGAACTGGTTGTTGTTTATGAAAGACATGAATAGAACATAACTTAGTTTCATTAGCAAATAAGCACAAGGCAGAGGTGAAAGAAAGTTTAACAAATAAAATGACCGAAACATTAGTATGCCTTTAAAAAAAAACATGTGGGAAAGAAATGCTAATCTGACCAATCAAATGTGGGTTTCCTTTTCATGTAATGAAAAATTTTTCATCCCCTTCCTCCCTTAAATAAGAATTTTTGTACTTAAAAAAAAAAATAAAAATCGAACAAATAGTCTGTCTCGCATCTTGATGTACCAGGAGATCTGTTTTTGAAGACAATTCTCTACTGAGACTGCATACACCTGTAGGCTCCCTAAAGCCAAACAGCCTTGTAAAGCTGGAAAAATGCCCATTATCAGAAACTGCATTTGTGGTAAAGGTTTAATTATAATGCAAAGTATCCCAGCACCACCTCTATTCTACATAACCTTTGGTCCACAACCATTTAATACACTCAGGACCTACATATAATCTTACCCTGGGCACTCTGGGCACTAATGAAGTGAATGATTCCGCTTTACACAATGAATGGAGAAACCTATTCTAGCTCCTCTCACGATTTCCACTTTTCATTGGACTTCACCCAGACAAAAATGTTGGTGCTGCTGTGGGTTTGACGATCAATTTCTTTTAAGAGCCAATCAGAGCAGATAAAAAACGTTGTTTCTTTAGGCAATATCAAACTATGACCAGTCTGCATGACCAGGAGGACCAGTCCTCCTTTTCCTTCTCTCTTTGATCAAGTATTGTTTTATTTTTCTTCTTCCTCTCACCACAGTGCTTAGGATCAGAATATGTAAACATCGACAGAAACAGCAGCCCTGTGACAATAAGCACTTTCCCAACTGGGCAGATTCTGTCAGCCAACCAGAACTGCTTCAGCTCCCTTGCTTGTCCAGAAGTCACTGGTTTTTCCGCTGTAACTTAGTGTCCCCTTTACTTTGGCCTCCATCTGCAGTTGAGAGATAGGAAAATAAAGAGAAGAATAAAAGCATGAGTGAACTTTTATTTTTGTATCTTACAGCATGAGAGACAGGAATTTGGCAGGTTAGCATCACCAAAAAGTACATTGTTTTTATAGAGTAGAAGACTTTGCATTTTCTCTGTAGTTCATTTATTAGAAATAGCATTGTTGAAACCTGAGATACCAAGCTTCATTCCAAAACACTGCCCAATGTTTTGGTGCTGAGAACTGTCAGAACCACAGGAAGAATGCCCACCAAGCCATTGCCACCCTTCCCATTCCTTCTCCTGGCCCCCAGTAAACATGCTACAGGTGACAAAGAAAGGACTACACTCTAAACTTCACCTTCTAAAGCTTTCTAATACTTTCTCAGCTCTAAGCCTTACAAACAGAAAAAAAAGATATTCTGCTTCAGGTTTCTCAATCAAAATAGGCAATTCTTATCAAGGATAAAATTCCTAGGGAAAGCAGATCCTCCATTAGGAAACCATCAGAATATTCACACATGTGAATACATTCTTACAAGAAATATGAAAAAGCTTTTATCTGGGAGGTCAGCTTTTGCCTTCAAAGGAAAAATTAAAATTGAGTGGACAAAGACTTCATGCAGCCTCTACACAATCATGTTAGCGTCCAGTAAGTAATGTTCCTTTTTTCCTCACTAGTTGAATTTGTACACTTAAGTTTCTAGAACTGCTACAATAAAGTACTGGAATTTTTTGAACTTATTTTGCTCCTGACTTTGAAGAGAAATGGGGGGAAAAGCAATTCTTCAGATTTCAAAAACAACTGCTACAACAGAGTGTGTAATGTCTTCTGCTACCAGAGTTTGTCCCTGTGTTATGTCTTCTCTAAACTAATTACCACTGTACATTTTATTTCAGTCAATAGAAGAAATTCAACTTAAGTTAAAAATAAGTACTAAGAAAAATACAATGTCTTTACCTGTGTAAGCTTGCTGCAAGTGAGCAGGCAGAGGTGAGTGAGACAGCGTCGCTGCATGCTGAGCACCTGGCTGTAAACCCTTCAGTAAGTCTGGGGGGAGGAAAGGGAAAGCAAAGAAAAAATAAGTCTTGATGAGAAAGGCAGTCTTTGTGAAACAACAAGTTTTTGTTTTTGTAATGTAGCTGTAGAAGGGGCTAATTTCCACAAATTTCTAAACATGTATCCCCACAACACAAAACAAATATTGAGCTGATATTTGCTCTGATTCCAGCCATCAGAATGCTAGAAGTCAACTACAGTTAATCAAAAGCCAGAGCAAGGACCATGCCTCACTATTGAGATTGCAACTCCTCATATTATTTCCTTTGGCACAAAGGCCAACAATTTATATAGGTTAAAACCATAAATAATTTCTTTTTAAGCAAATAGAAAAAATAAATGCCATCTTAGTTGATAGTTCCTCATAGAAGAGCTGTTTGGTATCAGTGATTACTGAGCTAGGGATATTTTGATGGATTAGCATATTAAGTCTCTTATTTGTATTGTGTTATCTGGAGACTTTTAAGCTATTCTCCTTTCTAAAGGTAAGGCTTTTTTGGGTAACTTTTAATACATGTTCAAACCTCAAAATATACTGTGAATATAACAATGAAGGTAAATTTACCCAAGGTGATTAATAACATTTAGGTAATTACGTAAAGAAAGTTTTTACCAGAGAAGAAATCACATTTACTTTCCTATAGGGATTTTCAAGAGCCAAATTTGAGTGTCTCAGACCTTTACTGCTTCCCTTCTCAATTTTTATATTAAGGATGCATCTTTCCTCATGGGACAGTGTGATAACTAACTCCACTCACTCTGAGTTAGGCTGTGGTGGAAAGCCGCTGAGGTAGATCCCGAGGTGGTTGTCGCTCCAGCTGTGTCCGTCCCAAAGCCAAGCAGCTCCAAGGGAAACTGGAAGGGCACAGTCACAGGAACAAGGCCACCCAGCATCCCAAAAGGAGTTAATGGTGCAGACGTCACGTTCTGACTGGTTACAGACAGGGGTGATGCCATGAGAGTCAGAGGTGAGGCGTTAGCCAGTAACGATGCTCCTGCTGTTGACTGTACAAAAAAAGCAATACTTCAAGATTTTTAAAGCTTTGAGTTGTATTCTTTAAGGACACAGTAATTGACTATTCCCTGTTAAGTGTTGCTCTGTTGAGAACTGTATTAAACTATTAATAAATATCCACTTATCCATCTAGGTCTTCCCAGTGTTCATCTGCTAAGCAAGCACAATTATATCTGACTCAGACATGACAGTACAGTTTCTCTCTCGTATTTTGCTCATCAGCCTTACAGGTAATTTCCTTGGTCTCCTTTCTAATTATGCACTGGGTCTACAGTCACAATCTAGAACAACATCTTCTATTAGATTAATGAAATTATCAGAGGTTGATCTGAAGTTCTTCAGATGTACAGTATTACTCTCCCCTCCCCAAATCTGGGTCTTAACAGAACATTAACTTTATTTCTTAAGAGGTTGCTGAGAAGCAATAACTTCTGAAAATTAGGATCCATACGTAAGAATCCTCACACTTCAAGAAGTCAAGTTACCAAAATGCAGACATACATACGTATGTATATGTGTGCATGCACATGTCCAAGGAAAAGGCAAAGGAAATAGTCACTCTAGATATGTCAAAATGAACTTAAATTCACCGTAGTGTAAAAATAAAAATGCAGGATCAGCCAGAACATTCTAGCTACAACAGCTCCCAAATGGCAACTGTTCGTTGTCTATGCAATCCAGTAAAGTGCAACAAAAGCCATACAGTTATGTTTTGCAATTGTGGATTTGAAAATGCCTGAAAACAGAAAAACAACTTTGTAAGGAGCTCTGTCAAGACCTTGCTTACTCTCTGAAAAAGGAGCAGAGAGAAGTACAGTGGTGAAAAGAGCTACACAGCATGCCCGAAAAGAGCTGCAGTTCAGATGTTTCTATTTAACTCATGTACAGTATTTCATAAAAGGGCTCATCCCGCTCCTGTAGATCTGAGTCATTAAGATCCTTAAAAGTCTAAGTCAGATTCCGCTCACAAGTACTAATGGTAGGCAGAGCTTTTTAAGGAAATCACATGTGTACTCTTTGGCTTTGTCTTCTTAAGATGTAACTTTCTTTGAAGCTTCAGCAGGTGTAAACTTATATTCTGGTAAATAATTGCGTCAACTAAAAGTGGAAAGGAGGGAAACACTTCTTGGAAACTTCCTAGTTAGGAACATCTTTATTACCATGTGAAATCATCTCGTTTCAATGTAAGCAGACCAAGAGATTCTAGTGAGCAACTCAGGTACCATTCTCATCTTCTGACTAGCAGCATCTCAAATAGGAATTAAATCTCTAAGGTCTTAAAGGAAAACAGATTGACTTTCAGTCTTATGTGAAGTTTTGGCTTAACTAACTCCTTGGTATGTTGTAGCTAACAAGTCAGGAACTCATTTAAGTTCATCAGCCAGCCATTAGACATTTATGGCTAAATAAAGTCCTCCGTGATCACAAATACTTCCCCCTTCAGTGTACTTGGACTGCGAGGTAATTTGATTCCAATCTTTTCTTGAATGTATTCCACCTAATAAGCTTCAGTGTACACAGCACCAACAGCCTTATTCCATGGTTTATTTTTCCTTGCACCATTCTTCTGAACCATTTCTAGCCTAAAGTAATTTCTGAAATGTCAAAAACCCCCCATGCAGTAATTATTTCAGCAATACCATACACACTCAGTGTCTCTAGCCCATCTGCCCCTTTCTATACAACAACACACCTTATTTTTGCTGTTATAGCACGGACTCACGTTACTACACACACGCCCTTCAGTGCTATATCACTATGGACAAAATGTATTTCATTACTCAGATGATCAGTGTTACTTGCCTTTAACTACAGGATAGTTTGCCAGAACTCATCTCATCGTCCAGCACAACAGCTTACTTCCCTTGCCCATCATCTTTAAGCACTACCACACCCATTTCACATTTTCTTCTACATCACAGTAATTGTATTCACTGGATTCTGTTGACTGCACCAGTAAGTAACAAGTCTCTTTGCAATCCATTCATTGTAGCCTTTTTTGTCTCCTCCAGGTACCTTCCAGAGCACTCAAACTGCACTGTACTTGGCTCAGCTCTTCTCCAGGCCCTTTGTGGTACCCCAGTGGCCCTTACATAGCACACCGGTTGTGGATTTTTTTTTTCCCATTCGAAGCACCCAGAGTAGGAAAAGGCTGTGTCAGAGCCTGCCAGACATTTATTGTTGACTGTTACGGTAAAGTAGGACAAAAGACTGTAGAAGTGTCTTGTAAAAATCATCTTCCTCCTGTTATTCAGCTGCATTAATAAAAGTTTGATGGCAAGCTGTATAAAACATTGCTAAAGTTGAGTATATACCACTCCCATGCAACAGCGATGTGCACTGCTCAGAAAAATACAAAGCTTTTCATTTGCTGTACAGCAAAAAAAAAAAAAAAAATTACGGCAACACTGCTTTTCTTAGGTAGTGAAGACCTCAGGAGAGAGAGTGATAGAGAGAGGAAGACATGAAATCATCTCACTAATTAAAGCATTCCCAGTAAGAACAACACAACTTGGGAAAGCAGGTTGTCTTCTAGGTAAATAATAGGTTTGCATAGGGTTTAGAACAGTATTTTCAAAATGTTTGTTTTGCTTAACTTGTTTTATCTCAAGTGATACCTATAAGCTCTCTCTCATTTTCTAGGGCATTTATATATATAAATGAGGTGTCTCCTTCAGTTTGACTAGGTCCTACAAAATAAAATACATAATCACAAATACAAAAGCCCTTGCGAGTGTTAATTATAAATACAAGTCTTGAATTACACTCAACCACAAGCAACTGAGCTCTAGTTTTTAAGTTAATCATGCAGCCTGACAACAAACAGATGATGACACCTCTTTTACACGACCACTGTCACTGCAAATATGCAAGAATACACAAATCCAGTAATGCAAGAAAATACCACATCCCCTGAAAATATGTCCACACAAAGCTTACTTTTTGCAGTGCTCTTAAAAAAAAAAAAAAAAAAAAGTGAATTCTGTTCCACAGTATAGACCAAGCAACATTTTACAGTGAGGATTTGTTCCACACTGATCCTTGCAATTTTACATCAGCTGGAAACACCTAATCTCTAGTGTGACATTTTTTCCATAAGTATCAGCATTATGCTTAGGAAAGTATAAAAATTAAATTTATGACATTTCCAAATGAAGATATTTTAAGAATGTTTACAAGATGTATGTGATAAATATTAACAGAAGGTTCAAATGTAAACTTGTAAGATGCATACCTGCACGCTGGCTGCTACAACTGGAGACCCTGAGGCAGAAGATGGTCTGTGTGGAGTTGACAATTGTTTAGTAGCACCCTGTGTTCCACTTCCTGTTCCCCCAGACAGACTAGTCCTACTAGCTCCACTTGAGTTAAGGTTACTGCCTCTGTTGGCAGGTACATTCATTCCAACTCCACCCAAATTATTTTTACCAACAGTTCCAGAAGGAGAAGAGTTGGGCAATTTTGAAGAAGCCTGAGGGTTCTTTGCAGGCTGAAGGCCTGAGGTGCGATTAGAGGACAGCAAATTCACTGTGGGAGACTGCCTGCTGATATTTACACCACTGGTCTGTTTATGAAGGGGGTTGTTGCTGGAGTGACTACTCTGCGAAACTAGTGCACTTGAACTGGAAGAACTGGGTGTTGTTGCAGGCCTGGGGGATGAGGTGGACTTGGATGAAAATTTAGGTGATGCATTGGGCTTAGGTGTCACAGAGGGCTTAGATGAAGCGGGCTTGGGAGAGGCAGCAGGTTTGGGAGAGGCAGCCATGGAGAAGGGAGGCTTGAAACCCTGGGAAGAAACTTGTGACACCATAGCCTTGGCTAAATAGTTACTAGAGGTAGAGGTGCTGGATGTTGTCCGAGAAACCAGTGGGTGAGACACTTGAGAGCCACTTCCAGATGAGGGATTAGACAAAGGCAGGCGATATACTACAGACTTATCTTGAGCCTTGATGATTGGTGCTGAGCAAGACAGTTTGGGATTACTACTCAATTTCACCACAGGATTGGTCTGTGATTTACTAATAGTTGCTTGTAAAGGAGATACATATTTCTGCTGTACAGCTGAATGCTGGTGCACCTTTGTCACTTGCGATGTTGAGGAAGTACCACCTTGAGCCTCAGAAGACGATACCAAGATATTAGCATCCTTGGTTCTTTGAGAGGAGGTGGAAACAGCTGCTTGGGTCTTAGAGGAAGAAACATGAGTCTGAGAAGAGGAAGCAGACTGGATCTGACTTGACCTCTGTAGTCCTTGCTGTAGTAGTTTGGCTGGCAAAGGCTCTAAGGAAACCTTGGGATTTTGAATTGAAGATCCAGCAATAAGGCCTGAAGAGATACCAGTGTGAACTAAGTCCTGGGGTTTCTTTGGTACTGGCCCTGTGTGACCAGCAATAAGACTTGATGAATGGGATGTTTGAGTGGGCTCTACTTTCTTTGAAGTTGCCAGAGGCAACTTACTCATAATGCTTGCTAGTTTCTCTTCCCTCAGCCCAGGGCGAGGTCTGGATGTTGGTGTGTCTATGGTGGACCCAAGAGGTGATCCCTTGGCACCATTATTGATAACTGCCAGAGCATCGGAAATAGAGTCCAGTGAGGGTGGGTGGAAAGAGAGGTCTTCATCCAGGGAGTCATCCAAGCAGATCGTCTCTGGAGCTGGTGTGCAGCTAGAGCTGGCTGGGGTGCAAACAGGTGTGCTGGAACTCAGTACAGTAGCACAGCTTGAATTGACTGAAGACATACAGGTCTTCTGTTCTTTTTTCGGACTGGAGTCCTGAGAATGAAGAGATAGGAAAAGTCAGTTTTAATAGTCTTTCTGGATTAGATTTAAAGCTGTCTTTAGTGCAATACTATTATTCTGTAAATTCAGATAAACCAAAGATCTACTACTGAAATTTCCATACTGAGATAACTGTGATATCTAGGTGCTGGAGTCCTGGTACTATTTCAATATTTTTATTTAAAAACCTAGTGCTATTGCTCCACATAACTACAAGTGCCCCACACAGTGAAGAACAAACAAAGCCGTGAAGAACAGGGTAGCTAATCTGATTGCCAAATAAAATTGTTATTGAATTAAAACGACACCTACTCATGTCTAATGAGAACCTTGATCAATTTATTATGGTATCCTCCCAACAACACTTTTTTCCAGTGTTGCCAAATTTAATAAAAACTGAAAACACACAGAGAGCACACATTAAGAGATGTGAAACTTTACTGGAACTAGTCCCTCCTCATAATAATTTTTAAAAAACTAATACAGCTTAAAGTAAAAAAAAAAAAAAAAGCTATACAGAAGTATTTTTTACTACATTCTTTAAAGTAATGGACCACCAAGTCAATAAGCTCTCATAGCATTCCTTGATGGAAACCATCTGCAAGAATTTTCGTGGATCAGAGGCAGAAACAGGTTGTATTAAATGGTCATACTGGACCGCTGAATGAATATTCAGATATCTAAACAGGCATTTACCTTCACTTTTGGTTTAGGGGCCAGAATCACCTTCTTCTTTGCCCTAAAAGAGGAGATCGATGTGCATCAGAAGATAAAAAAAAGTAAATAATTTTAAAGTGTTACCGTGATTATGTCCCTGTAAACTAGAAGGATGTCTACTAGAGTTCAGCTTTAATAATATAACATCCTTGAAATAAAAAATGGGTTAAAATATAGGGGTGGAAGAAAAAAAAACCACTTTCAAACTGGTTTTGGTCATCTATCGCTATGTAAACTACTTGTAAACTCAACTGAATTGCTGATATAACCTGACATATCAGGAGAGCTATTTTTTATTTTTCTGATTTATAGGAACTTCAAAGTATCAATTCATTTCAGTCTCTGAATGAGTTTGTTTACATAGCAGAGCTTTGTCTACACTGAAATCATCTAGAGTAGTAATAAAATTTCACTTCATGTTGATATTTTTGTCCCTGGGGAAGATACTTCCTGTTCTCTTTTATTTCAAACCAGATAAAAACAGCTGCTTCTCCCCACTACAAAAAAAGCGGTTTGTTGCTTATCAATTGTTAAAACAATGTTTGTTGCATGAAGTCATTTAACAAACTTCCAGGTTTTCTTTTGCAGTGTACATGAACACCATAGCACCAACCACAGCTGTGCAAGCAAGGACAGTGTTAAGGATTATTAGTCATCAGCTTCAACTTGGAAGCTCAGCATTTCACACCTCCTTTTCTTATTTCTATTTCTTCAAGGGGATCACAACAGATTTACATCTTATAGGTCATTTTTTCTCCTTTCCTAAGCAACTAGAAATATGCTCAGCTAAAAAAACCCCTTACTGTAGGTGGACCATGACTCAGTTTTGCTATTAGGTAGAAAAATGCCCTATTTATCACAAAGGTTGCAATTTGGATGTTATAAAAAGTCATAATAAATTATCTGAATTCTGGCTGAATATGGACAGCTCCTGAGAGGCACACAGTGTTGTCTGAAAATCGAGAAGATAAAATCCACTAAGATACACAGCCTTCTGTGATTACAGAGATATTTATGAGGAAGAAGAAACAAGCGGTCAGAGTTCAATTTTACATACTGCATGTCAAAATTTAGGTAGCATGCAGTGCTTCAAAATACTTCGAGTAAAAGGCATTAATTCAAGAATTAATACCCCCTTGAGCTATCTAGCCACTTCATCAGTGAGTTTAAATGTAATGCCACAAGAACATTACAATTATATGCCTAAATTAAAGCATTAAAAAATACATAAGCGTCATTGTAAGTATCTTCAAACAAATCTCAAAATACCTCCCTTTTCTTCCCTCCATCCAAAAAGAGGTAGCATGAAGATGAGGAAAGATGCTACACACCATCTAAAGACCTTAATAAATTGTCACTAGTATACTCACGGAGCAGAAGTGAGGTGATTGTGAACACTTCGGCTTTCTTTAAAAAGCATCCTAAAAGAGTGATGAGAAAAAGAACATGAGGTGATTCTACTGCGATAAATGGCACATGACCACCAAATACACAAGTATCCTTTGATTTTCAGAACTACCCTTTGATTATCTGTTCCCAGAAGAGCTAGTAAGTAGGTTGTCTGCATTGCTGATATTCATCATATAGGTCCAGGTGCTCATAAACAGAAAAATTAAATTATAATAGTTAAAGTTTACATTCAAAATACTTCCGTAAATGGCCAAACAGAAGTCAACATAAGAGAATATTACTTCCTGCAGCTGGACAGAAGAAACACATTTTGAATTCTCTCTACTCAAAAGCTAATGAAATATTTAAAATATCAAAGTAAGGATTATTGTAAACTCTTCACATTACATGCCCAACACTGATCATGGCTTTGGGTTTGTGGTTAATAATCTGTTGTGGGTTTTTTTCCTCTGTGCTTTAGAAAAAGTCAGAACACAATAGCCAAGCTTGTTTCTAATTTTCTTCAGTACTTGGTATAGGCTGTTCTGTACCGTTTCTGTGACTTCAGTTACACTGGACTTCCACATACACCTTTACTACAGTGCCAAGGAACGGCAAGAGCCAGGATGACAAATCTCAGCACTTCACATGCTGTTATTTCAATGTTATCAGGTCCTGAGATGACAAGTGGGAAGTGAAAATGATTCCTGACCTGTACCTATCCTACAGCTTGCTATCCAAATGCAGCTATAAATAAACAATTAAAGAAAACTTGGTCTCCTTTCTTGTTTCCAGGTAGGCAAACCAGAACAGACAAGATTTTCCTACACCACTGCCATCACACTAACTCACCACATCATAAACAGCTGTCTAAACAAGACCTTTTCACCTGTAGAGCTGCAATAATTATAAAAAAGCCAACTATTCACAAATCTAATGTCATCTGGTAAGAAAATACTGACATTCTCTCACTACAGTTCAGTGCCTTACTTCTCAGATTTCACTTCCAGCTCTATTTTCACATTTTCTTTACCATACTGACCTCCAAATCCCCCTGTCAGAGACTACTGAATGCCTGGAAGAACATCAAGGAGCAAAAATAACATTTCTCATTACATGTTCAGTGTGTCACCTTCTGACCTACACAGCTTCTCCAGAACATTTCCCCACCTCCTTCTTGGTGCTTTGTCCATTCCTTAATCTTTTTCATTTGGAAATGAAAACTCAAAATTAATCACAGGCCCCAGTAATTTGAGTATCATCCTTAAAGACAAAAGGGTAGTACTACAACAACAGAAAACAAAAATGGTACAACGAAAGGAGAGCGCAGTATATGCTCCAAAGCAAGAATATCCTTGAAGAATAATCCCTCTGTGGCATACATATATTTAGATGTAAAAGTTGATGAGAGACAAATCAGTATGAACTTGTTTCTCTCTGATCATTATTTCAAGTCAAATGTGCTGTTTGACCTGCAAGCCTACTTGCATGACCACCTGCAAAGACGACAACACTCTTGGAATTAAAGGAAAGACTTCCTGTTCCTTACACTTTGGTTTTTTTTTTTTGAACACACAGCTATTTGGGTTGCAGATTTTTTTCAGACACACATGGAATTAATATGCAACCCAGTTACAAAAAAAGCAGTTACATTATTTGAAAAGGCTTTGGGATCCTTTAAGACTAAAAAGTGTTTCTCTAAATCTATGGATATTAATAAAACAATCTCCTCGGGCACAGTATGGAAGTTATACACATAGAAAGTTCATGTGACAAACGTAATTGTGATACAAATGAACAAGGTGTAAATTTGCGAGTTTTATTTCAACATGAAGAATTTCTTTACATTGAGGGCAGCACAGCAGTGGAACAGGCTGCCCAGGGAGGTTGCGGAGTCTCCCTCTCTGGAGACATTCAAAACCCAACTGGATACATTCCTGTGTGACCTGCTCTAAGTGATCCTGCCTTGGCAGTGGGTTGGACTAGATGATTTGCAGAGGTCCCTTTCAACCCCAACAATTCTGTGATTCTGTAATTTCAAGTTATGATCAATACCTTACTGCATGCTTCTTTACAAACCTATGAGAAACATTAAATACAGTTAACTTTGAAAGAGAAAGAAATTCTTCCTCTGAGCTGAACCCACAGAGGTCTGGTACTGAAGTACTCTGATAAGTAAGAATTCCTTATGAATATATAGTCAGTAGCTCAGTTTTAACATTAAATGCCTACTGATGTTGTTTTCCATTTTACATAGCTCCTTTTCACTTTAGGCCACACATAAAAGCGAAAAATTATAAGCCTTCAGCATGATAACCCCTACCCTAAAGTCTCAACAAAACAAGCTTCCAGAATATGAATTCTGTGCTGTACTAGGAGTTATCACTGCCAGATTGCAGGAAATACTTTCTTTTCCTCTTTCCCTAACCGTTTGCCTACAAATTACAATACATCACTTCCTAAACAGAAAGGAGGGAAGTGCCTTTGAGTAGATACAGGACAATTTGTAAATCATTACGATACTAAAACTGTCCAGATAAATGAAGTCTTACTGGTCAGCACGAAGCTAACATTTGTTAACTCTTGGGGTTTGTTTGGTTTGTTGGTGGTTTTGGTTTGTTTTGAGAGGCTTGGGGCTGAGAGGGCATTTTGGTTTTTTGTTTGTGGTGGGTTTTTTTTTTTGTTGTTTTTGTTGTTGTTGAAACCAATTGTATAGATAATTTAAAAGCTCATAGAAATTATCAGCACATGTATCAAATCAAAAAGGAGAGACCCATATATGTTATATGGCTTTCAAATGCAAAGTTTGAACATGTTTCACTTTTATGTATTCTTGAATCATCTCAGATTATCTCTTGACTATTCCACCATTATCATCAGTGATCTCCATATTTGTTCTTAAACTAAACTGGGATTCCTTGTCTCATCTACTTTAGTAAGATCTTCATAAGATAATCTCTCACTCATCAGCATACTTAGTATACAGAACTTAATCCTTGAATGGAAATACGTCAGCTGTATATCAGGAAGCGTAAAACTTGCTTTGTTCTTTTCATTAGTATTTCACCAGCAGCTCATTTTCTACATTGATTATTCTAGGAAATCTCTCAGTACAGTTATTTTTACACCTTGATACAGATTTGACTAATCTACAATCAAGGTATTCCCAAGCAAGTTGATGAGTATTGTTGTAGCATTTAGCTTTTACAGTCAGGTCAAGATTTCATGGGAAATTGGTTGCCTTTTGCAGCGGGTGCTACAGGAGGAAAGAACTCAGGCCAAACCATATTTGCTTCTCTTTCACTCCAAAGCATTTGAAAACTTGGTCAACTTTGTATTTCACAATGGTTAATATTGCTCCCATTTTATCCCCCCCCTCCTCTTTGCATGACTGTTTCTTCTTATGTCAGTAGGAAGCATTACAGAAATTAGTGTATTTTTAACTGCAGTATCACAGAGGATCCCAATTGCAGACAGAAAATAGAAAGCACAAACCTTAAGTGTTTTGTGAACACTGGTGTTGAAATTCTAGCTTATAATTTTAAAGTCTGTGTAAGCAGTCTGATAACGCAGTGTGACAACATACAGGCAAAACTGCTTTCCGTATCACTATCATTTTCTATATCACATAAAGAACTTCCCAAGCAGTTACCCTTCTGCCTCATACTTTGCCCTCAAATGAAGCATCACGCGCTATGTTCTGAGCTTCAGTATATTCAGTCTCCAGCAGATGACAAAAATCAAATAGTTCTCCTAGGAAAATTGGTTTTTTTCACTCTCAGGCTTGGAAACAAGACAGAAAAATTAAATTTGGAAAAACATTAATTTAAAATATTCCAGCTTCATGAACATACAAGTTCTAACCAATACTAATAGTACATGATTGAGGTCAAATGTAAGACAATAAATAAGATTCAAAAAATAGTTAACATCAAAATGAACAGATTTATAAAGCAGGTCTCTTACCTTGCCTGCATCCAGCCTTTAGGCCAAAGTGGTTTCACTTCTGTTTCCATAAAGGTTTTGAGGTAATCTTCAGCAGACTGACTTCTATTTGGCTCTAGCTCATAGCATCCCAGCTTGATCTTGACAAGATTACACAACAGAGACCTGAAAAAAGAAACAACAAAAAAGAAACCCTTTCAAAAACTCAGCAGAAAAAGGCTGAGAAATGAAAGCTGCTGTCTAGTGATAGTTGTAGGAAGTGCTCAGTTTCAATCGTGTTTTTTGGAAGTTTGCACTGCACAAATTTGCTACTACAAATTGGTATGATCTACCACTGTTACTTCTTCTCCATTTCCAACAGACCACATGGCTGTTATTTTCATCCTACTATTATTCTGTAGTTTGTTTTACATTTTTTGTGGTTTTCTCTTAGTTGACACATGTCCTCTCACTTTGCTCATAGTGATCTCTCATTTTTCTGAAAGGAAGTGAAATCTATTCTAAACTGTGTATTTCAACAGAAGATTCTTTCTGACACAGATTGTCTTTTATTGTCCTAAAAATATAAAAGTGCACACAGTTAAGTAAATTGGCCTTTCAGAGCCTCTTGAATGAAAAAAGCTACAGATTTAAATAAGTCTTCTTCAAGTAGGGCTCCCTCCAGGTCAGTCCAAGGTATATTGGTTGTATATATTTCATGAAGCTTTCCTACCTGTTGTCTTAACATACGAAAAAGACTCACCACTAGAAGTCCACCAGCCCCTTGAAGTAACATATATATATATATATATATATATATATATATATATATATTTGTACTAAAATTAGCTTAGATCTTACATGAGAAATCACTAATTTAGAAAGATCTGCTTGCTTAAAAGCTTGCTCAGATTATTTAAATGATAGTAATCTGAGATTTCAATAACATCTACTCTAGGAAACATAACTCTTTAATTATTTCAGACAAGAATCTGTGCTGCTTTTGAGAGTTAACACAGAATTTATGTTGACAGGGAATAGAAGGGGTTAAGATTCATGCACTCTAGATCTTGGTGTGCCCAAGGATTAGGAGGCTTGCCAAACCAGCATCACTAATCTTGATGGCCTGTCCTACTGTGGCAGCAATCTTTAATGCTCATTGGTGTTTTCTAACATATTTCTAGAAAGGTAGGAGGCAGTTATAACTCTGCTTACACATCTGTTCTTTGCTAAAGAAGCCTGAAGTCCTGGAGCCAGAAAATTCTCATGTATTTGAATAAAGCAGAAAAACAAGCAGTGGAACCTGAAAGGGCTGGACATAGGATGATCTTGTCTTTGAAGTTAAATAAAAAAGGCTTTTCACCACTACAGAATTCTAGTTTGCATATTCAGCACCGACACTTTCTGAAACTTCTGAGGTGTAATTCTGGGAACAATTATTTATTCAACAGTATCAGGTAATAAAATCCTCCTGGAGATCACTTTATAAAGTCAGTGAAAATCACTGGTGGAAAAGGTAGTTCTGTCTCACCTCACTGTGTCATCCCAATGAAACTTCTTTCTGGGTCCCACAACCCTCTTTCCAGGTTTCTCATCATCATCTTCCTCTGATCCATTTTTCTCTCGTTCATCTTCCGCTTGCAACCTACAGTTGGAACCATTATTTTCTTTATAGGTATACTACACAGACAAAACATTTCATTGAAAAACAGCGTCATTTTAGGTGTTAGGAAAAAGGCCCACAAAGCGCGTCTTCAGATTCTCATGATACTTTCTGAAAGGATAAACAGTTCATCTTCCTCTCCCCACTGCTTTATGGTCCTCAGGGACAAGTAAACAGGACACACTGTACAAATGTTATCATGGATGCCACTATAAGCTTTATGTAGTATCTCTGCTGGGAAATAGCAGGATGCTTATCAAAATATTAATGCTTCTCCAAGTCTAAAATTAGTTAACTATAACGGAAAAAATTACAATGAACAAGAAATACACCATCCTCCTCCATTAATCCCCCATTTTAGGAATCATTCAGCAACGCTTCAGATTTTTTTCTCTCAAGACCTACCTCATTCAGTTAATGGAATTTCTCTCAAGAGTCACATAATGCTTACACAAAACTAAGTACTTTGTACAATTCAAAACAGAGACACCTGTAAACTGGAGCTGAGTGCTTTTCTGAGCTCAAGGAATGAACAACATGCATAAAGACTTCCATCTGGACTCTAGAACAGGCATGCACAGGCTCCAGGAATACCTACTTGGCATTCTTGGCTTGATTGCGGGCCTGACAGTCCTCTTGGTACTTGCATAACTGTTCAGGCATGACATTACTGACAGCCAGTTTCAGCTTTTGCAATGGTTCTCTTAAGCGGTCATCCTGCAAATAGAGAAACACCAAACCAGTCCTATTAGATGTAAAATAAAGAGCATTTCAGATCGTTTCATGAAAATTATCTCCTGCTCACTCCTAAGGTAATATACCCAGTATTGACTGCAATAGCCATATTCTACATGGCATTTGAATCCCGTTAGGGGCAACAGCATTATATAAATGCACATATTTCTCACTTAAGTCTTGAGACCAGAAACAGCAAAAGACAGTCACAAGGAAACGTATCATGAATAGTCCAAAACATGACAGCATGATCTCATTAAATAACACTTTTAAATTAAAATAGGGAAGGGAAAAACACTTAAGAGGAAAAAGTGAGACGAACTGACGGATCAGTATCGTAACACTTGCAAATAAATATCTAGTTAATCATATCTCCAAAACCTCTGTGGTATAAAAAAATCCTAGGTAATGAACGAAATATAAATATGTATTATATTATCTAAATATTAGATTGAGGTACATAAATTGCATGTAATAACAAAGTACTATGTATTTAGAATTGTCTCCAAATATTAAGAACTCCAAACATTAAAGTAATATACTATAGACTTCCCTAAATGTTTTAAATTCTGTTCCTACATCTTCTGACTTTATGTTGTTAATTTTAACTGCTTACTGAGAAGAACTAGAATATTCTATTATGTCTATCTGTTTAGAAATAGCATATTAATCTGTTTGCCTTATTAGCAAGTTCCAAGATCTCTGCACTCATCTTCAGCTCCTTCACAAGATTTAGTCCTGGATTTTATCTAAAGAATCTGGTCAGGATGCTTCAGGTCACAAATAACCTTTTTTATTTAATGCAAGAAACATTCTTCAAGAGAAAAGTGACTGAAAATGGCATACAAAATATTTGTAAGAGAAAATTGCACAAAAAATAGAAGCTGGGTCACCTATTATCCACCTAATCTTCCTTTTTTCATGACACAAAAGTGAATTCAAAAGTAAATTTTTTTTTAGCCTGTCATAACCACGATTACTGTGGCTTTCTAGTTCTGCTACTTTGATATGTACCCTGTGACTACAGAAATAATCACAGATGACAGCAGAAACATTCCTTCGTAGCCTGTACTAGGTTTTCAAGATGAAAGCACTTCATTCTCAAATAAAGGCTTTGAAATACTTAGAATATTTGTTCCTAATGTAGCAACAATAGCAGGTATATGGAAGAAAGCTTTTAAACTGGTCTAGCAACTGATCCAAAGTATTTTGCTTTATTTGAGACTCTGTGACTATTGTTCTACTCTCCCGCACTGAGCTGTCATCACTGTCACACAACTGACTTGTGCTGGAGTGAAACTCCCCGTCATTACCTGGACGTTGAGGTGTAACTTTTTCAGACGCTTTATCAGTGTGTCCTTATTGCACGGCACAAAAGCTTCCAGGTGAGAGTACACTCCATTGCGGATGGCAGGACTTACCTCCTGTAACTGTAGCTCAATACTGACAAACAAACAGGAGACAATCAATCAGTGAGGCTTTCCAAGACGACAACTGAACAAAAAACTAAGAAAGCTTTGTAAGCACAGATATTCTAGCTGTGCACACTAAAAACAGCAGCTTGAGAAATTTTTCAGATAAGCCTTTTTATAAAAAGAGGAAGTCTCAACCGATGGCAAGAAACCATTCATATCTGTACTTGTCCAGCAATGTTGAACACTCGTTCAAATTTTGTTTACACCCACCATTACAAATCAATATTGATACAATTTTGACTGCTACAGTCCTCTAGAGATTACTTTTTGTTTCATATTCTATGAACATAGAACTTCAATATTAAACACTTCACTGAAGATTACAGAGGAAAAAAGCCAGCATTTTTTCCTCATGAAAGCTGAAGGTGTTTTATGTTACATAACTGAGGACAGGAGCAAATAACAGCAGTTTTGTTGAACTTTACACATGAAGTCAAAGACCAGGGCACTACAAACCCCTTTACACTGGATACACACAGTCATGACAGGAACTGTATTCATATATAAATCTCTTTAGCTAGTAACTGGCTTAGACTGATCTACCTTCATTGACTTTTAAGGGCTTTGTTGGAACAACCTCAATAATACTTCCTCTTCTGTACTTTTCCTTTTACCCCCTTTCCAAAAAGGGAAGGTTGTACAGATAAGCACTTACTCCAGAAGAATATTATTCATGTCTTGCGTGAAAAACTTCTTCCTGCCTTCTTCATCAAACATCTTGGCAGCCTGAAAATGCAACAAAAAAGAGTATCCAAGTTCATAGAGTATTTTATCCCAACAATCCTTGTATCTTTACTTCTACAGCTGCATCACATTCTTATTTTCCAGATAATGTTACCTGGAAAAGAATAAACAAAATCAAGCTATATCCAGCTGTTTAGAAAAAAAATTAGGCTTGTTACTGTTATACTCAAATAAACACCTTACTCTAGGGCAAACAGTCTGTCTACTTACAGTTTGCCTGGATCACTGATGTTAACACATTCAACTTTTCAACAACCATGAAGAAAGGAAATGGTAGAGATGTTTTATTATCTCACCACCAACAACATTCTACTACTGTGAGTTCTAAAAAGAAGAGCATTGCTTGACAAGTCAAGCATGCAAGAGCATTAACACATTTCTACTCCATCTTTTTCTACCTGTTATGTGCCTTACCCAGTTATAACTTCCAAGTTTTTTTATATCCATCTCAAACCTTCATTACAATTTCTACCAAGAGATTATGTGTGCTAGAGGAATACTTCATCCCTCTTTTCTGTGCCATCTTTAGACTATATCTCTAATATTTTAGTCTGGTCTCTTCTTGAGTCTGTCTGTAGTGCAGGGGAAAAAAAAAAAAACAACAGCCCAGATGCTTATTTTCACAAACAATGACAGCTTACAGTAGAAAGCCAATTCCCTGTACCATTCTATAAAAATCAGTAGTGCTGATCTAATCTGCAGATTTTTAGAAGTCAAAAGAAAAAAAAGCTCCACTTTGAGAGGCTTATTGTCATCTTACATGCTGGCATTGGGACCAGACAGCAAATATCTAGAGGAGCTGGAAAATGGTACACATGCAGAAAAGTGGTCAAGTGCGGTATCATAATAGGGACTGACAAACATTAGAGGCAGCCGACATGCTACAAGGCTGAATATTCAAATAATTAAGAACCTCTAATTCTATCTTTTAAAAAAAAAAAATTCAGTGACTTGCGACAACATAGCTAAAAATTGCAAATAAACGCAAATGTTAACTTGATAAAATTAATTTATTACTATTAAATACTTACTTTCTTGCTCTTTGTAACTGACCCATTCAAGTTTGAAAGAAAAATATTTTCTAGAATTGTGAACTCTATACTGCATAGGAAAACAGTATGATACTCTATCAAAACCATAAGGTAGCTCATTGTCTGAACATTTTACCACTTCAGTCATGAACACTGATACTGGAGTTTAAGCTCCTGGCAAGGACCGCATTCCGCTCACTGTTTTCTACCATAAATTCAGCTGCTGAGGGGATGGTACTATCTTTTTAGGAATAATGAAGTATTTGTCCTGCTAAAAAAATTAGAAAGGTTATAGATGTTTACAAGCGATAGGATACCAAAAAGACAAGTTTGAAAGTCTTAAATCCAGTGACTTTAAGCATAATTAACAAAAGGATTAGCATCATCATCTGGTTTATATAAAGTGGAAGGAAATATATGCTTTGACATTTCAGTCCCAGGTAGACCTTAAAAGGCAGTTCCAGCACTATGCTATCATACTGGATAGTATCAATAGCTTTTAAAGAGATTGGCAGATTCAAAAACTTCATCACTATTACTGAACTGTGGTTGGGTTTTTTCCCCACAGATATTCTCTTGACAGTTACCTTCAAAAATCAGAAAAGGCCCTTTCACTTTCCTGCTTGTGTACAATATTACCTTCTATCACGGTAGTTCAGAATTGCCCACTTAGGGAACTAGAACACATTATTCTACAAAAGTAAGTGAGGAGGTTTTTATTATATGTAGTCAGTGGTTAATTTTATTCTTTTTTTGACCTTGACGTATTATACACTATCCATGGAACACTGGCTTTTTCCTACAGCATTATAAACTTCTTATCTTTCTTTGTGCTGAAGAGCTCTAAAGCTGTGAGCCTCATAAGTATTTGAAAAGACACATTTATTTCTAATGCTTTTTGGAAGATTGCAATTTGCAGGAGGTATGGAAGTTGCAGTCTTAAAGTCAAAACACAGTCTAGTTTTTCCCCATGTATAAGGGTAGACTTATATGCTCAGCCAACAGACTCCCAGAAGACACTGCCAAAAGCCAAAGACAGAAGAGTTCTCACCTGGTCTAAGTGGAAGACGTCCCTGCCCACGGCAGGGCTGTTGGACTAGGTGATCTTAAAGGGCCCTTCCAACCCAAACCAAGTGATGATTCTTTGAAGACTTATGTTTGCCAAGAGCCACCATACTTAAGATTTCTTCCAACTGTTTGTGGATTGTTATACAGCGAAGCAACATGAATTTACTTGGGGCAAGTCACTAACACTTCCTTAGTTTTGGCCAAATCCAGTTCTGCAGTTTTGCTAGAAGCTTGTGTTAATGCATAGCAAACTAAACCTGAATATTCAAAGGTAGACAATCTCTTTCACTTCAGTAAATATTAATACCTTGGTTGTATTTAGCTTGGTATGTTGAAAAATCAGTAAGAAAACTAGAACACTTACATACACATAAGATAAATATCATGTTTTATCATTACTTTATCCTGCAGCAAGTTCTGCCACTCTTTAAATTATTTCCTTTCTGCCAAAAATAGGTAGTAACTTGAACTACTTTTACAAAACTTTTACAGACAACAAATTTATTTTAAGATAACATCCACAACAGAAACAAGGAGCACCTTGATCAGGGCACCTCTGTAGCCCTGATCTCTTTCAGTACGATACTGGGATATTTGTAACTTGTTGACTCAATACCATTTGTCACCATTTTTGAAAAGTTTGGACTCCATTCTAACCTTCCAGAAGAAAAAGTTCAGTTTTGTGGTTGGCTGGTTTCTTTTTTGTGGTTGGGTGGTGGTTTCTGGGTTTGGTGGGAGGTTTTTTTTGTTTGTTTTCTTTTTTCCTTTTTTTTTTTTTTTCCAACTGGCAAGTTAAAGCCAAAAATTCAATACACGGATTTGTAAGCTGCAGGCATATTTCAGGTTTCCCCCTCCAAAATAAGAAAACACCCATCCATTTCACCAACAAATAATTCAAGGTAAAGTAACACTGATACTTCCATTATGGAGAAAAACTCAAATAAACATTACAAGTTAGTGTACACAGAACATTTAGAAAACCTTGTGTCCACTGTTAAACTAACACTGCTTGAACAATTGACCTGCGTCATCTCCATGCCTATTTTCATCTGAGTATAAGTACAGCCATTAAGATGGACGTTAAGATCAATTCTTCATTTTTAAAGTTTCAGCCAGCAATTCAAGGATGGCATCCAAGGTCCTAATCGTTCTTCCTCGTTCTCTCAGATTCCTGAATGCAATCCATTACCAGTGAATTCATACTTACTGTTCGAAGGTCTCCAATGCGCTTTTCAAGTAGCACAGGCAGACCTTCTGGGAGGGCAGGCACCTGCTTGGGTGTCATGACCTGAGAGGTGTAGGTTGCCTGAGTGACATTTCCATTTTCTCCTGACAGCTCGGATACCGGGCTGCCATCAGAAGTGCCATCAAGCAACTTGTCAAAGTCAATGTCTCCCAGCATCTCCAGGGCACTTTCAGTTTCTTGCAGGAGCTCAGGTTCATTTGTGCTACCAAAAATGGAGAGGACAGGATCATTGATCCTAAGATTCAAGTCAGAGATATCGTTTCCTGCACTGAGAGAAGAGGAAGGAATTTTACTAGGGGTGGAGGTTGCGACAGTCACTGGAGGTTTTGGACTAGATTCCTTCTTCCTCATGGCTTCCTTCTCCTTTTGAAATTTACGGATCATGGCAGCCAGAGAGAGCGAGTCTTTATACAGTTTCTTTTTCTTCTTCTCAGACTTGTGTGAATTTAAGGCCATTACTCTGCAGAGGAAAGAAATTTTTCATTAGCATGCACATGACTTCTGAGGCCTTAGTAACCTTTAACAAAAAACTCGAAGTTTAATACAATTAAAAAATTATCAGGGGGAAGAAGCAAGTACTTGGTGCTTCCGTCTTCAGATTATTCTATCAATTATCATAAAACTTCAGTGATCACATGATTTCTTGCTGTCCAACTGATTTGTTCTGCTAAGTTTGGCAGACATTAGATTATTTCAAAGGTTTTTTCATTTTGACTTCTCAATTTCATTACAGAGAAGTTCACACAATTGTTAAACTCATAGCAGACTTGTGCTACTAAAATACTTAAACTTGCCTCTCAAAACTCCTGAATGGTGGAAGGTTGCTTTAAATTTAGGCACACCGTGTATATTACTTTCTCTTCACCGCTAAGAATTTTTACATGCAGACTCAACATCTATATACTACTTAAATTGAGAATTTTCCACCAATTCATCACCTTGATGAAAAATAAGACCAATAATTTTTCAATACCAACGTGAATATTCATATTTAGACAACTTCCACTCAATGACAGTTTTCTAGAAGTCAATTAAAACCCCACCACCTCAATCCTAGCTAGCCTCAGAACTCAGGAAAGCACAACACAAAGTCAGTAAGGAACACGCAGAATAATTAGGTTGTATTTATAGTTTTCCAGATTAGAAACAAGGGGATAGAAAGATTATTTTTCACTAGAAGATGTAATTCTTAGTGCTACCTAAGATGCACTTTAAGTGTTCCTCTAAAGAAAGAAACCTACCCCAACTGCTTAGGAACTTTCATTTTCCGAGGCTTCTTCTCCTTTTCTGTCCCTTCCTCTTTCCGTTTGCGCTTCTTCATTCCACGATCTTCACTTTCTTTTAACTTTGCTATCTAGAAAAGAGATAAAATAAAGGATAATGATTCTTCCACCCTAAAGAACTTTTACCGCAAGAAACATTTAGTTTTCTTTACACCTTCCAATTCAGAGCCAAGAAAAACACCTCAGTGTGCATAAAGGCAAACGGTACGACTGGGTTCCTAGCAGCAACTGCAGTTATGACAAGTGTCAAGCATAATTTTTAAACAGTTACTTTATAATTTAGTGCTTTTAAACAGTTACTTTAAAACACTGTAAGGGACACACAGACTGATGCCCAACCAGTACGAGCAACGGCAGCCTTGGAAGACTGAATCCTCTACCTTCTTCTGCTACCACAGTTTGATTGCTGACTATGCATTTGCACAGTTTGGATCATCTTTGTTGGTCAATACAGATCAGTCGTCTCCCCTCCCAAGTTCCTGCTGATCCTTAGACTACCTGATGGAGCAGCACAGGGAAAAAGAAAGCCTTCACACTGTGCAAACAGAGCTAGCAATAGGCAAAACTTCAGTGTAATTATCAACACTATTTTAGTCATGGTCCAAACCATAACACCATATAGGCTGCCATAAAGGAAGTTAACTGCACCCCAGTCAGACCCACTACAAGAGCCTTAAAATTATGTTAAATTTAAAGAGTTATAGAGCAGGAAAGGACATCAGAAAGCAGTAAATTCTTGGAATGGCATGAACTTGTGAATGGCCTATATAATTATGTTTGCATTGATAATAACTTGTTAAAGTTTATAGAACAGCATGCTGTTTGGAAAAGATTGTATATATAATTTTTAATATAGCTATTCTTATGCACTGAATTTATTTTAACATATATTTTGGTTTAAGCATTATTCTGAATACAAGGAACAATTTCAAATCATGCAAGCTTTGTGCAAAATCATAAAAGCAGTATTGAAGAATTTAAGTTCTCATCTCATAATGAAACGCTTATCAAATTACAGAATCATCTGTCAGTTCAAGAGAGGCAGGCACAACTTGTTAGCGTGCCTAAACAGATGGTTAGTCTTACAAGACTGGACAGCCTGTGGACATCCTGAGTTATTTCTTAACTGCTAGTACATTAGCCACAAAATGGAAAATGCAATAGAACAGTACCATGCATCGTGCTATATTTGGCCTCTTCACCTGAACCATTCTAAGTGTATCAAGTATTTCCAGTGTCCACCTAGCTACTAGTTCTGTATAAAAGTCTGATTAAGATCACTCACTTTAGGTGGCCTATGTTTTTTGTCTTCTGCAAAGTCTTCATCTTCTGATTCAGATGCCTGTCGGAACTGCAGTGTACCAGTGTTGATATAAAACCCTCCATATTTGGTTGTCAGGGATGCAGGAACCAATTCATCATACTGGGCAAGAAAAAAAGATTAACTTGTCAGCATTTCTTAATAAAATGAATATGCAGTTTGTTTACCAGTCCCTGTGCATGAAAAATTATATACCAATATACAGCACAGCTTGCTAGAATAGAAACAAGATACCAATGCTATTGAAAACTTACTGGCCAAGGCATACAACATTAATTTCAGAGTAATCTTTCAACTTCCAAAACAATGCCCTTTTTTCTTTTTTTTTTTTTTTTTTTTTTTTTTTTTTTTTTAAGAAAAGACAGGATTACAGCATTAAAAGTACTACTTTCTGAAGCAAATGAGGATAGGCACACATACATTCCCCTTGCCATGTGAGGACAAAAAGCCCAAAAACTTTTAAACTTTTTTTTCACCCAATATTCTGTCTCTTACAGTATGGTACATTATGCTAAATGTTAAATCTCAAGATACATAAACCATGTGAACAATGATGCACCAGCATTTTATGACTAACTTCATTTGATTATTCACTTGTTCTGTCCAGAAAGTAAGCAGGCACATAATGAACTATTTGTTTTCATTTCTGACAGCCTTACAAGCAAAGCACCAACATCACTGGTTGAAAACAAATTTTTTAAAAAACAAACCCTCCCTCCAAACAAACAGACCCCCCCACAAATCCAAAGAAAACCCACCAACAAGAAAGACCCCAACAAAACCCACAAAACGAACAAAGCTGCCTCTATCAATTTAAATTTTAAAGCTTAACACTTCTATTGAATGCCCTTCAATTTTATGACACAATGTGCAATTCCAATTGCCTTCTATTAGTCATCCACTTTTACCACAGGCCCTTTAAGTTATCTGTGATAGCTACAGTTACTTCTAAAATGTATTTCTTCCATATTTTCTAAAAAAATGGCCATCTGTACAATCACTAGACTGCAGTGAAAGAAGCCTAATCTGTATGAGAATTTTACAGAATTGGACATTATATCTAGGAACTGAGACTGAAAATAGCAGAGATGTTCTTGCAAATTAAGCATAAACAAGCCTCCCTAGGTTACACTCTTTGTTTCATTAAGACTGCCACAGTTTTCATTAATACCAATCTCTGCAGTGCACTTCATGTTCAGAAGTTTCAACACATGCTACATTTAGTACCGACTCTAACCACACTGTCCTGCTCAAAAACCTACTTCTCTTAGAAAGTTCTCAGAAATTTTCTTTTGTTAAAAATGCTATCCCAGACATGACAGACTTGGCCATGGTATCTGTAACCCTATTTCCAATTTTAGGTGTTTAATACAACATTGCCTCTTATACAAATACCATAATACCAGGACTTGTTTCATTTAAAGTCAAACATTCTCACTCTGTTCAGACAGTTTTAACGCCACAAAATGTTTCAAACTCTTACAAATACTTTATTTTAAAAAGTACTTAGTATTCACAAAGAAATTTCCAAGGTAGAATTACAAAACTGTATCTCAAAAATAGTGAAAGCCAAAGACATAGAAGTGGTCAACCGTAAGTATAGTGGATGACAATATTGAGTTATTATTTTATGATCCTCAGCCTCCTCAGAATGACATTCTACAGGTTTTCAACAGAAAACCATTAATCTCTAGGAAATACCTTGTTAACAGCAAATTCTCAAAAAGGCTGGGAGGATGAATAGATTCATTCTAGCTCTATGCATACGCGTCAACAAGGCAAGTCATGGAAGCGTTTACAAGAGAACTGAGGACGGATTGCCTTGACAGTGCCGTTATCACCACACAGTAGGACGATGTCCTGAACTACCCAGGTCTTAGTTTTTAAATACTGAAAATTGTAAGACAATATTCTTAATATGCAACAAATATAATTCTAGAAACTATACTCCATGGAAGTGTAAACAGAATCCTTGAGACACATATCTGCCAACAAAGATTAAGGAGGAAGCATTTACAGGACTAAGAATTGATTTCTACCCTTGTTCTAAAACAAAGGATAGGATTTTGACACATCTGAGAGGTATGCGCTCTGGCAGAGGAAAATGTCAGTTCTGAGTAACAGCTGTAAGCAGTAAATGTTTGGTAGCACAGCCAAATGATTAAAACCTGAGATACTTGCAAGGGAAACACTGTGACTATTATTTTGAAGCAGCAGGCCTTCTACTGCAAGTCTCAAGATAAAATTAAACAGGCTGAATAAATAAATATACAGATTTGACTGCCACAACACGATCTGAAGACTTGAAATCACCTACACAAAATGAACACACACAGAGTGCAAAGTGGAGTGTTAGCTACCAGCTTATTTCATTTTGCTCTCCATGCCATGCAAAATATACTGAAGATAAAATGGTGTGAGAACTGAAACGTCTGGGCTGTCAAAAGCATTTAAACAGGAAGGAAAGTTATCCAGAAGAGTAGAACAGTAAGTGTATACTTCAACAAGGAAGCTGATGAAGGAACCTGAACTGGAGACCTACATAGGGATTTAATGAGCAAATAGCTAGACTGACTTTTATCTTCCCAGAATGGAAGGCTCAACAAGCAGTACAGGACAAAATGTGAAAGGGAAAGTAGTGACAGGATTTACGCAATACCCTAAGATGATATGAAAAGCTAGCACAAAAAAGCAGGAGAATCTATTAACTGGACAAAATGAAAGCAAAGTGGCTTAGTTGTGGACTTGGCACTCACCTTGAGGGACCATGAGGATCATGCAAAGCAAACTTGAGAGTGGAGTAAGAATTTCAGAGAAATCTAATGGTTTTTTCCACAGTTCTCAGAACTACCATCATTAGGTACAAGGAAAATGAAAGGAGAGAAAATAAATTATTATCCACAGTGCTTAATAGACAGAGCAGGCACTTTTTCTATTTGAGCTGACAGGGTGTGAACTGAATTGGCAAGGCTGTGGTAGTATAGGATCAAAACAAAAGAATACAGCAGTTGCCAAGTTTGAAGCTAAAAGCACAGTCAAAGCTGGGACCATTACCATATGAAGTAAAGAACAAGAAAAGGGAAACACTAAAAACTTAGATGTAGAGCAGTAAAGAAGGCCTGGGTAACACACAAGTAAGGACTAAAGACAGTCCACAAGTGAGGAAGCCATAAATCACAGCAAATTATTTCAATTATCAACATGCCATGTGGTACAAATAGATATGTACAAGGCAACAAGAAAGGCAAAATTCATTCAGCATACAGACTGAATGTATTCCAAAGCAGTCAACAGGCAAATAAGATCAGCAAGAGGTGGATGTGTAATTAAGTAGTTGAGGTTTCAACAGCTTCTGCTGAAGACTATGAATTCAGTCAGATTTTCAAAGACTTTTTTGACATTCAATTTTTAACCCTTGAGTGAGACTACTTTTCTTTACCAAATCCTTGTTTTACCCTTAGCCTACTGAACAGAGTACAACTCAGTGTTTAATGTTATAAATAGAGGCCTGTAAACCACAATGTAGCTAATACCCTCTCCTTTGAGCTAAGCTTAGTATTTTCACTACCCTAACTGAACAGAAAAGGAGTATGTTTCTACAAGGTATTGGCAACAGCTAGATTAAGCTTCATTTTAAAGTCCCTTCAGGACTCTCAGTTAAAGGGAACATGGCTCTTGCAAATTCTAAATATTCTCATGAATTGGTTTTGCTTTACACTACCTTTTTCCACATATGGAATTGCACAATTATCGTATTAAGGAAAATAAGTTTAAAGTCCTTCACAGTGTTCTGCTCTTCCTTATACATTCCAAGACTGAGAATCAAAAAATCTCAGACCTAGAAACAGGCAGGAATTGATATACGATTGACTCCTGTGAACACAGATTTGTTCTACAAAATATTATGGAATCATTCTGCAGATAAAACAGTAAGACTGATATACTGTCTGACCACCTAAAAGCAGGCACATATATAAGTTATTTTAAACTGTTGTCCTTGAGCTACATTACTATACTTCCAGTGCCATTAATCTAATAAAATGTTTTGGTATGAAAGATAATTCTGTTTTTTTAAAAATAAGTTAACTGCTTTCAACTTCATTATTACAACAAGAACAGTGAAATTTTATGGATTATACCAATTTATTTTTGAAATCCAGACCCACAGCGGTATTTTCCATTAATATTGTCTACTCTTGTATTAGGGTATTTTGACAACAACCCTCAGATATTTTGACAGTGATCCTCCTCATTCATCTCCATTCCAGAAAACAATCTACAAAAGTACGTATGTGAAAAAACTATTTAACATTTCTGTACTAATTCCTGGAAATGCAATTTGGTGCAAACAAGCCTGAGTGTTTTAACAAATATAGCTTATTATTACTTCTTGTCAAACAGGTAATGTTTAGCTAAAAGATAAGCAGGGATACTCTTCGTTCCCTTGTTCAGTTTATTTTTGAGGTAGCTCTAACCAGCTTGGGATGGGGGGAGCTGTTTAGTTTGATCATCATTAGACCATGGAATAAAAGCCAAGCTACTGAAATTATGTCAAATACAGTTGTTTCAGTCAAACAGACTGAATATTTACACAGTTCACTACACACTTCAAGATACTTTAAATATACATAGTGGATTGATCTCTATGCTTCTTAAAGATGCAAAGAACTGAAATACACTCTTTGGCTTTGCTCTCCTTCAAGGCTAAATTTTCAAACAAAAACACAGAACCATCATTCCAAAAATACAGCATAATGGAACATAAAATGAAATCCTAAACAAGGTTAGGGGGGAACAGTACACTGCTTTGCTAATCCAAGGTGACATCAAAAAGCGAGCACAAAGAGCTTTCCCATGGTAAAGAAGGTTGTTCTTCCCAAACGCACAGGCAAGTTGCGGGGGGTTTGTTTGTTTTCTTTTAACCCTGAGGCAGCTGGCAGGGCTCAACAGAAAAAAGTATAACAGATTATTGAAGATATAATACTTGGCTCAGGGTAGTTGGGTAGAATAGGGTAGTCTTGTAGGAGAATCCTAGTTTTTTAGTCAGGATATTGCAATCTGTCAGCCTACCAGAGTACCTTGAGAGAAGTACCAATACACAT